TAACATACTTATAATGCTGCAAAAAAGAAATATGACATTTCTTATAGATAAAAAGTTAAATAGATTGATTGCAGGATACAAGTGGAGAATATATAATACAAGAACGTGTGAAGCAGAAGAAATGTATTAAAATGTTGAAAGAAAACAGAGCTATTGCTAACCATTCAAGTCAGTTTTATTATTTATTTATTTTTTAAAGGATCCTGCTGTTCCATACACTTGAGGTGGCCAGCAATCAGTTCATTAAAAATACCACTGCCTTAAAACAGAATTTTAAAAAGGCAAAACCACAGCCAGTTTCTATCAGTCTACAAACTGCTAAGACAGGATTGTTGGTCAACAAAAGGAAGGATTGCTTGTGCTTCCTGCTGCCTCCGGGTGGGTAGTGAAGAAGGTGCCCTCCGGTCTTCTTCTGGAAGCCCATTCCGGAGCGTGAGGGCCGTGTGCCCAACTGTGGTGTCTGGCTGCAAAAGTTTCCATGGTGGGAGCAGATCGGCGTACTAGAAGCAGCTGTTGCGAGGACCTCACAGGGCGTGTGGTTCTGTTCAGGGGAATGCAGTACTTCAAATACAAGGGTCCCAGTTTGTGAAGGGCTTTGTGGGCAATCATCAGCACCTTACATCGACCCTACAAGCTAGTAGGAAGTCAGAGATGTTGTTTCCAGATGGGCATAGTGTGCCGATGGTGGCTCATGGTGCTTCATAAATGGGCTGCAGCATTTTTCACTGATTGAAGGTCAAAAGAAGACGGGGATGGCAAAGGATGAGATGGTCAGACAGTGTCATAGATGCAACGAACATGAAGTTGAGCAAACTTCAGAGGACGGCGGAAGACCGGAAGGCCTGGTGTGACCTGGTCCATGGGGTTGTGAAGAGTCGGACTCGACTGTGCGACTGAACAACAACAACAAATTTTTCACTCATTGACATTTCCACATTACTTTCAGAGCAGCTCCAGATAGAGCACGTTATAGTAATCAATGAAAGTGCCCTGACAGCCTGTAGAATCGGGTGGGTTGTCAGGTTGGTCTGAGGAAGTGGAACAAAGTTCGAGTCCCGAGCGGCACCTTTAAGACCAACCAGGTTTTATTCTGGGTAGCAGCTTTTGTGTGCACTCTGTTGGTCTTAGAGGTGCCGCTGGACTCAGACTTTGTTCTGTCGCTTGAGATTTCAGTGTATCTGAAGAAGTGGGTGTGTACACAAAAGCTTATCCCCCAAATAAAACTTGGTCGGTCTTAAAAGTACCCCTGGACTCAAACTTTCTTCTGCTGCTTGAGGCCAACATGGCGACCCACCAGAGCCTATCTTCATGACCAACGTCATCCATGCCTTGCACGGATTTAACTCCAGGCTGATAGAGTCAGCTGGGCAGCCGTGTTGGATGTGTTCTGGGGATAAGCTTTTGTGTGCATGAACACTTCTTCAGATACAATGAAGTGGAAGTTACCAGTCCATGCATATAGGTAGAGGGCAATGCTCCCTCTAAGCTGTGGAGTCTTGTGAGCAAAAATTCCACTTAGTGAGCTACTGGCAATAAAGTTGTGAGCTACTGCATAAATTAGTTTCCTCTGGAGCCATCCTTCCTGAGCGAAGACAAAAATGTGTGAGTTGGAGGCTAAAAACTGTGAGCTAGCTCACAGTAACTCAGCTTAGAGGGAACACTTAGTAGAGGGTGAGCAGCAAATTATCACACAGCGACTGGAAACTCAGATGACAAGATAAGTGTCTTCTTGAGATTCTTGAAGTGGAGGCAGAAACTCAAGAGTGTATTTCTTTTATTTCCCTTTTAAGTGAGGGCTTTGGTTGTATTACGCCTCCCTTTTATGTGGACAGTGTAGGTTCAGCCTCTGGTGGCCCCCCGAGATTTTTCCTTCCTCAGGGAGAGGCCTCCACTCCAAGGAGTCAGGACGAAGCTGAGAGGGACGGTTGGCCTCAGTGGGTTCCTGACAGCTCCACGTGCCCATGCCTCCCTGGCACATTTTCTAAGCAACTGTTGACTCTTGCAGAAGGGCATGGCGAGCTGCAAAATGCTGAAAATCCATAAGCTGGATATAAGATGTAATACTCCTTCCATGGAATGGAACAACTGCTGAGATACATCAAAAGATAAATTAGGCTTGAAATGTTATCTTAGCTTGAGAACCTGGCCAGGAGAAAGAAAGTTGCCTCATATTGCCTGATATATTATGCTTGCTGTTGTTGTTGGCCATTCAGTTGTGTCGGACTCTTGGCGACCCTACGGGCCAGCTCTCTCCACGTTTTATATTATGCTTATGGAATCCTAACAACAGTGTTAGTGACAAGGTTGAAACAAACCTTATATAAATACAGTCATGTTAATCAAACTAGATTTATTCCAGCTCAGAAACTCACATCAAACATTTTGCAGACCTTAAGCATTATAGACAGAGTCTTTGGACAGAACTTCTTTGGTCTTCTTAAATGCTGGAAAGATGTTTGACAGAGTACAATTGCAGCTTCTTACAGCACGTTTTACGGGCCTTACAGTGCCATCCTGAACAGAGTTACTTCCTTTTTAGTCCATCGTAGTGACTGGGATGTAACTCGATGTCTTTAGGTTGCACTGCTAATTTAGGAGAAACACTGCGGAGGTGGGTTGACACCGCCCTGAAGCCAGAGGACAGGAGCTCAGTAAAGGGCCTAACAACATGTTATGTTTTATTCTTGTCCACTGTTCAGGTTTTTAGTCAGACATTACCTGTGAGTTCCCCACTGGATCAGGATTGTGCCACAGAGGGGGAGAAGGGACTTCTCACTCCCCACCCAATATTTTCCCAAACTGAAATGGCCCTGAGGGGGCACAATTCGCCCTGCCGGGGATGGGCTGCACAAACGGCTGATGACTATGTGTGCAGCCCCCATGGAGCAAATTGGATGTTTTGTGTCAGGTAAAGGATGGCGGAGGGGAGCAAAAGCCCCTTCTTTCTGTGTGTACTCTTCCCAGTCCAAATCAGGGCCCTCATGGGCTTAGAACGGAGTTCTCAGGAGGGGACTTGCAGCAGCCGTTGAACTAAAAGTCTCAGTGGAAAACAAGGACAAAATGCAATGCCTCCTTCCAGCCAAAGTCTGTACTGGCTAGAGGTTCAAGGCTGCCTCTTTACAGTGAAGGGGTTCTCTGTTCTCTGTGAGACGGAAGCATAAAGGGAGTAAGAATAACAAAACCAGCTGCTCGAGTTAAGTTTGCACGCTGTTTTAAATACAGACAACTTTAATGGAGTCAAATGGTTTACAAGATCATGGGAGGAGAAAAGGACTCCTGTTTTGAGCACGGCCACCTCATGTGACAGGGCACAGTTGCGAGTGCCTTGCTGGAGGAGAGGGCAAGGACAGTGCTGAGGGATGGCTGCGGTAGTGCCTGTGGTCCAGCGTCCCATTTCCTGCAGTGGCCACCCAAATGTCTCCTAGAAGCCCATGGAAAAGGCATGAACTGACTCCTTGGCTGGCCTTTGCTTCCATGGTGGGAGGGCAGTGTGGGTTTCCTTGACTTAGGGAAGTTCCCTCATATAGAACGGTGAACTTTCAGGATCTCTTGTGACTAGAGGTGTAAAATTTCTGGAAAATTTTGAAGCTCGGAAAAAACCCCGTTTTCCCCCCAGTTTTTTTCTGGAAAAAAACAGAAATTTTTGGGAAAATTGGAAAAAATGCTGCATGAGCACTTCTTTTTTCTTTTCCAGATTGAAAGTTGTTCTGTTACTTTAGGAACATAAAATATGACTATGGACATTTTTACTTGGCATGGAATTATCACAACTAGCCTGTTAAAAATATAGTGTATCCACACAATTATTACAAACAGAATACCCACCCACATGCAAAAACAAAACTGAAACCTTTTTCTTTTCTCATAACAATAGCACCTCCTAAAGGAAGAAATGTATCTTGTTCTTGCATTGGAGAGTTCAGTTTGTAACCTAGGACTTGCTTGTCCTCAGTGCACAAAAATTAGATCAATCTTATACCATATATATATATATATATAAGAAATGATTTGGAAAATATTTGAACACCTTGTCTTAAAATATTTTATTCATCATGTTAAAATAAAACGTTCCATAATCAATTTTTTTTCTTTTATTTTCTTTTTTCAATTTTTCCATTTTTCGGAAAAAAAAACAAAAAGGCTTCCGGGCCTTCACATCTCTAGTTCTGGCACAGTTTTTTCAATTTTTCCAGTTTTTCGGAAAAAAACAAAAAAGGCTTCAGGGAAAAAAACGGAAAAAAACTGGTTTTTTTCTGAATTTTTCCGTTTTTTGGGGGGGCCTTCACGTCGCTACTGACTGAGACAAATGTGTTTGATGGCTTTGCAAAGTTTTTCTTTTGGCTTAAACTCTGTCTCTGGTATATTCCCCCCCCCCCTTCCCATGAGCTTTCCAGATTATAGTAAAGGGGGCTGCATTGCCTTGGCTACGGGGAGCGCCATGGGCCTGTGGGAAGTGAAGAACTGCACCACTTTCCGGGCCAAATACATCTGCAGGCAGAACCTGGGGACTCCGGTGAACCCTGAGCTTCCTGTGCCCCGCCCCACCCCCAGCCTGACAGGCACCTGCCCTCCAGGGTGGAGCACCAGCCCCAAGATGCGGCATTGCTACAAGGTGAGTGCAGAGCGAGGGAAGGCGGCCAGCCAAGGGAAGGTCTTGGGGCAAAATGCATCCCTTTGCATTTGTTTTGCATTTACATTTCGATGGTGTACTGATCCTGAGTGTGTGCATCGTGTGTATGGCATTATAGTATCAGGACCTTGAGTCTATCCCAGGAATATAATGAGTCTGTTTAAATCTTTCTACACTTTGGGAGTTTAGAGTGTACCCTGGGTCCGACTTACCTGAGGGACCGCATTTCCCCATACATTCCCCAAAGAGCACTTCAGTCGGGGTCACAACACCGGCTGGTGACCCCGGGCCCTAAGGAGGCCAAGCTTGTGGCAACAAGGGCCAGGTCTTTCTCAGTGGCGGCTCCTACCTGGTGGAATGAGCTCCCGGAGGAGATCAGGGCCCTGCGGGACCTTGTGCAGTTCCGCAGGGCCTGCGAGACGGAGCTCTTCCGCCAGGCTTATGAGTAGGAGCCGCCACAACCACTTACACCACCGCTCTTTGTAGAGAGAGACCACTGGGGGGGTGGGGGGTAACATCTTTCCATCACCCCAGCCTTCCCCCCCCTGTTGCGCAAGATATTAGGAGTTTATATGTGCATCCGCAGAACTGATTTTAAGTTGTTTTAACTCTGTATTCTGTATCATGTAATTTGTATACTGAACGCACTTGGTGCCTTATGTGAGCCGCCCTGAGCACGTTCGTGGGGAGGGCGGGGTATAAATGTCATAAATAAATAAATAACACCCGTAAACGGATACGTCACACTCCTCCCCACCCAACTGGTTTGCCTTGTGCCTCTTGCAGGCTTGCCATTCCCCTGCAGGGGGCAGGGGGTTGCCAGCTTTCGGGGGGGCCCGATCCACCGGCCCGGATCTGGCCAGTGGGGGGAACCCCGCTCCCAAAGTGCCGCGTTCGCACCAATATGCCCAGTGCCGGGTGACGGTCACCCGGAGGTGACGTCATCGCGCAGGGCACATTGTGGGCGGACGCTCTGTCATTTGAGGAAAAACTATGGCTTTTCCTCGAATGATAGAGGCCCCCCCCCCACAACGTGCCCTGCGCGATGCCGTCACTTCTAGAAGATGTCATCACGGTGTGCACACAAAGCGCGCGTGCTGAAGAACTCCTGGATGAGGAGAAGGACCACCGCCCCCCGCCGGCGGAACCCTGGCATCTTGTGAGGCTTGGGGAGTCTCAAGGCCAGGACTCGTGGTGCCCAGGGTGCTTTCCCTCTGCACCACCACAGCCACTGGCAGCCACGGCCCTGAAGGGAGCCACAGAGCCCATCCACAAGCAGCCATCCTGGGGACTGAAGTCTGGGCAAGGCCATATGACGGTGGGCCTAACGATGTCTTATGGTTTCCTCAAGTCCTTCTCCGTCCTGGGGATCAGATGCGGATTATGGGTACTGTACTTGGTGCGCCTCGGTGTTTAGTCATGCCGGCCACACGACCACAGAAATGTCTTCGGACAGCGCTGGCTCTTCGGCTTGGAAACAGAGATGAGCACCGCAACCCTAGAGTCGGACTCGACTGGCCTTCGAGCAAGGGAAACTTTACCTGTACTACTTGGAATGCAGCTCACAGGCACACAGGGGCTGATGCAGAATTAGCAGGGCTATTTTTGGGTAGGAACGCACAGGAACGGAGTTCCGGCTGGCTCTCAAGTTGCCCACACCAAGCAGGAACTCATTAGCATAATAGGCTACACCCAACAGCAGGAACTCATTAGGATTGGCTACATTAGGGGTGTGTGGCCTAACATGCAAAGGAGTTCCTGCTACGAAAAAAGGCCCTGGGTTTTGACAACAAACAAGGTAAACAGAATAAGAAGCAAAAGGTGGATGTGGCTGGATGACCACACTTCTGGTAACATGGGGGTGCGGCCTAATGTGCTAATGAGCTGTGCTGTCAGGGGTGTGGCCCAATATGCTAATGAATTTCTGCTGTTGGGTGTGGCCTATTATGCTAATGAGTTCCTGCTGGGCTTTTTCTACAAAAAAAGCCCTGAGAATTAGGATTGTCCTCTCTAGCTTGGAACATCCCCAAAGGGGTTTGGGTAGGTGCAGGGCTTAGGGAGGGGGCTCGGTGAGGGATGTGATGGCACTCCAGGAGGCCTCTGTCTCCTAGACTGTAGGAGAACACCCGGAGTCTGTCCTCCAAGCCTTGCGTTTCTTCCTGGGATCTGATCTCACTAGTCTGGAGTTCCGGTTATAGCTCTGGGAGAACTCCAGGCTCCTTGCTGAGGCTGGGGACCCTCTCCTGACCGGGGGGCCCTTCTGCCGGTGCCGCTGTCCTGACCTGAGACGACGAAGAGGGGGGAGAGGAGGAGGAGGAGGAGGAGGAGGAGATTTGCCCTCTGCTCAGTTGTCTTTTTCTGTGGCTTCCTGTGTGCTGTTTTTAAAAACACTGCGTTAAGTCGCTCGCTTAACAAAGCAGTCGGAGAGGGATTCAGCAAAGGT